ACTGAGAGACTAGTTCGCGTAGAAACAGACAGACAGACAGACGGACAGACGGACAGACGGACATGCTCATATCAACTCAGGAGGTGATCCTGATCAAGAATATATATACTTTATAGGGTCGGAGATGTCTCCTTCACTGCGTTGCACACTTTTGGACAAAATTATAATACCCTCTGCAAGGGTATAAAAACTAATAACAAATTAATAGAAAATATATTTATTTTAATAGATATTAGCATTTATAACTTTTTGGAGACGTCTTGGTACTGACTGTACCAAACTATGGATATAATCCAGTGGAATATCCTTCCATAGAGATCCTTCCATATCCTTCCAACTTATCTCTAAAATCGTATCATCTCGAATTCTAGTCAAGTTTGCGCACCTCTTTTTTTAATATATGACCAGAGGTTTTCTATTATGTTGAGATCTGGGCTTTGTGGTGGCCAATCCAACGTGTTTACTCCAACATCATTTAAAAATTGTGTAATTATTTTAGCTTTATGGCACGGGGCGTTGTCCTGTTGGAGAATAAAGGACTCCCCAATCAATTTATCACCAGAAGGAAAAGCATGGTTATTGAGGACCTCTAAATACTTATCTTTATTCATGGTTTCATCAACAGGAACTAAATCTTCCAAGCCAGTGAAAGATACGCATCCCCAAAACATTACGGACCCGCCTGAATGACTTGTTCTTTCACATACGGGTGCCACTTTTTTGCGATGTTGTTTCGGCAATCGAACATAAATCTTTTTTTTGAGAAATGGAACCCAAAAAAGCTTTCATCACTCCACAAAACATTGTTCCAGAATGCTTCAGGCTGACTGACATATTTTTTGGCAAATTCAAGGCGCTTTAACTTATTGCGTGGAGTTATTTGTGGTATGACTCTGGCAATATATGTTCCAAATTCGGCTTCCTTGAGACGTCTACGAACGGTTCTTTCACTGATATCAATGCCAGCTCCTTCTTTTAACTCTTTAGCAACTGATCGAGGAGTATGTAAAACATTCTATTTAAATTTTCTCAAAATATAGGTATCAGCTTTGCTTGTTGTTTTACGTGGTCGGCCACTACGGGTAGCGTTTTTGGTTGTATGGCTCTTATTATATTTATTTATTTGATAGTATACAGTTTGCCGAGAAATGCTGTATAATTTACTGATATTTTGTACCGAAATACCAGAGTTATACTTTATTATTATTATTTCATTTTTAATGAATTTGCTCAGTTCATTTGTTTTAACCATATTTAATAAATTTATGAACGAAAAAAAGCTTATCAGCAAAAATAGTAATTTAATAAAGCTTATCTTAAGCAAAGGTTTGACATTCGTCGATCAACTAATGAATGCAGACTAAATATGTGTGATGTCAAAATACTTATGCCATCGTCAAACTCGTTGCCGGCTAACTTTTCTAACGGCTAACTAAAAGTTCAAAAGGTGATAAGCAAAATATTGGTCTAAAGTGTATCTGTAATTGCACTCTGTGTATTGAGCATAAATTGTTTACCATTTATTTGACTACACTATGCAAAGCAGTGTCGGATAGTCGCAAGCTGATGTTGTCTAAATACTTTTGCCGACTTGTGTAGGTTAATTACAGAATGCCTCATAGATACAGGGAGCCCAATTTCGTTTATTAGAATTTCTAAAGTACCCAAAAATGTTTGTAAAATGCCAGTTTTAAATTCATATCATGGAATAAATGAACGTTTTTTGGAAACTTATGGCAGAATATTATGTTATATAAAGAAAAATTTAACAAAGTACATTTTCATTTAGTTGTTGTGGCAAACAAATCTATGAGTCATGATGTAGTTCTGGGAAGAGATTTTATGGAAGCATGTGATTTAAATCTGAACCTTGACACCTTGAAGATGGTTACGGTAGAAAATTTAGAAAATGTTAGACAGTTATGATTTTAGTGATAAAGAGCAAATAGTTAGTGATGCTGATGTTGAACAGAGAAGAATTGGTGATGTTAGGAAGGTTAATGATGAAAATCGGATAATAAGCAAAGAGGTAAAAGAAGTAATAGTTAGTAATAAACAAAAGATTAGAAATGCAGTTAGGTCACAAGAAGCAACGAAATTTGGCATAAATGTAGTGGAAAAGGAACTGATGAATATTAATATTGAAGATGAATCTGTAGAATACAAAATTGGTGAACAAATTGAGTATAAGGTTAGACAGCAATTTATTTAAATTATAGAAAATTTTTATGTTAATAAACAAAGACAAAGGGAACCAGAAGTTAAGTGTGAAATAAAGTTGAGGTTGGATGACTCGAAACCTTTTAGTAGTTCTCCGAGGAGGTTAGCTTATACAGAGAAAGAAAAGTTGCAGAGCATATTAGACGAGTATTTAAAAGAAGGAATTATTAGGCCGAGCGAATCAGAATATGCATCTCCAATAGTTTTATTTAAGAAAAAAACAGGTGATTTGCGATTATGTGTGGATTACAGGAAGCTTAATAAAACAATGATTAAAGATAATTATCCACTACCCTTATATAAGATAAATAAAAAACAAGAAAGGAAAGCTAACTTCGGGCGGAGCCGAAGTTTATATACCCTTGCAGTTAAAACCGGATATATATCGCAAACATCGGATATACATAGTTGGCCGATCCAAGCTGGCCATATTTGACAAGCTCTCCATGATCACCCGTCCATTTTTTGATATGGTGACGCCATTTCTGTCAAACGCAATTGACATGTCTGCATCCTGCAGGCGCTTCACTGACATCAGATTTCCAGCAGCTTCTTTAGAGTAGAGGACGTCTTCCAGGGTTATCTCAAAAACATTTTGCAGTCGCACAATGCCACGCTTAGTGCCACGTGCCACGTATATATATTCGCCTTGTTTTGCCACAGCTATTTTAACTGGTGGCTCCAACTCCACACTGTCTGCAAAAAACGACTCAACATTTATGAGATGATCACTTGCCCCAGAGTCTAGGATAAATCCATATTTATCCATTAGCACACTGTTTTCCACTTTCTTCAACATAAATGCGATGCCCTGTGATGCTGCGTTTTGAGCTTGGCTATTTTCTTTATTACTTAATATTTTTTTATAATGGTAGCAATCTTTCTTAATGTGCCCTTCCTTTCCGCAATGGTGACATTTAATAGTAAATTTACCCTTCTTAACAAATTTCTTTGGTTTGATTACCTGATTTTTAAATTTATAATTTTTGTTTTTATTTTTAACAAAAACGTTCATTACTTTCTTGCTGGTGTCATTGTGATCATTTTTTATTTTAATTTCCTGATCGAGGAGTCTATTCTTTACGAAAGCTAAGGTCAAATTTTCTTCCGATAAGGTTTCTATGGCGGTAACTACTCCGTCATAGGAAGAAGGCAAAGTTATGAGTGAATGAGACACCTTGTCCATTTCATCCACTTTTCCACCCGCGGCTAGCAAATCACGAATCAACTCATCAAAGATATTAAAATGGGTTAATAATGCCATCTCACTTGACAGCTTGAGAGAGAGCAGTCGTTTGCGCACAGCCAATTGTGTTGCCAAACTTCTCCTTTCATATACCGCGTCCAAATTTTTAAAAATCTGACGCGCGGATATGTTGCTTGTTGCGAAATTCAAGTATGAGTCGCTTAAGGGGGGACATCTGAGTAACAGGCCAAAAAAAAGCGGTTTTTCTCGATTTTTTTTTGGCCAAATCAAAACAGCTAATCGAAAATTTGTAAATGGGGTTTTATTATATTATATTTAAACTACACAATAAAATTTTTTTTTAATAAATCGAAAACAAAATGGCGGCCCTGCAACCAGGGCCGTAGCTAGAGCCTCGGGGGCCCTGGGGCAACAAGTAAATTTGGGGCCTCCTATACGGAAGTCTTTTGCCCCGGTGGGGCCCCTTCCCTTCGGGGGCCCTGGGGCACCGCCCCACCTGCCCCATGCTAGCTACGGCCCTGCCTGCAACCCTTATTCGTAGGCCCTATTTTTTTTAAAGGGGGTCCATGGCCGAACACCTAACGTCCTCAATTTTTGATCTAGAACAAAAAATCAAGTTTGGTTAGTTTCTTTATCTCAACGGCTATCGACACACGTAGGATTTTTTCGATATATTGATTTTTTCCAAAATGGCAAGTGATTGAACAAAATTTTCAATTTTCACTAACAAAAAACGTCACAAAATTGTTGATAAAAAAAAGTAAGCAAAATAAAAAAAAATCCTACGTGTGTCGATAGACATAGGTATTCTGAGTATACTGTCAAAATTTTAGATCGATAGGTTAAGAGTTGTTCGAGTTAGGTGTTCGGCCAACTCAAAAAAAGTGGTTTCGAGAAAAACGCGTTTAAAGTTTTAAGTACTGTGGGATATACCTGTGAGGCATCGCCGCAGAATGGAAAATTTCGACACTTAGACACTTTGGCCGGACTCTATCTTTTGATATGTTATTTTTAAGATCCAAAAGAATTTTTTAAGCGAAAAAAAAAATTTTCGATTTTTTCAAAACTCTACTCAGATGTCCCCCCTTAAGTACTCTATCCATGTACTTTTGGCACAACGCTCCGCTTTCTCCCAAGCATCATCCACTTCATTTGGCTTTTCTGCGTCAACGACTCTTAGTACGTCTAATTCAGCTAATAGAGCCCTAATTCTGAATTTCCATATGGAATATTTTTCGCCGTCGAACGGCTTGATATTACCACTAACCGTACAGCATATAGACAACCCATTTCATACAACGAAAATGGACGCAAAAATTTCTTGCGACAGGCCCCAGAGCGGATTTCTTACGCTCTCTTACGCTCGTCGTTCGTTCATCTTACGCTCATTCACTCATTAAATGTTTTCTGTTTCTCAGTCTCTAAACGGAGCGCGATGAAGAAGGTTGGCCTGTAGAGCTGGAAAAACATCGATGTTCGGTGACTTCGATGTTTTCGATGTTTGAGAAGGAAAACATCGATTATAATCGATTATCGAAGTAAAAAATATTTTTTTTTTAATTTCAACATTTATTTACAGGAGATCATCTGCATTTTTGTTTAAAAATAAAAGTTTATCTACAGTTTGTGGTTTTAGACAGCTTATGCGGTCAGTAATTATTTGTCCGGCTTTGCTGAACGCTCTCTCGGATGCAGTTGAAGTGGCTGGCACGCAGAGGTACTGCTTTGCAGTAGCTTTGAAAGGTTCCATTTCGTCAGGGCTCATCTATAAAATAAATATTGGATTTTATATAAAATATCTAGAGTTTAAATTTAAAATACCTTATAAAAAGTTAATGGGTTGCAATCCTCCGGAGAGTTGAAAACCTCTAAGAATTGTCGCAGGGCTATAATAGAGTCTGCCCTGGCAGACCTCGTTTTTTCAGCAACTTTTTTTTGCAAAAAGGTAAACTGCCGGTTCTCCGGCTGTAGAGTTGGTGGTGTTGGCGCATCGTGGGTTAATTTGGACATTTTATTGTACAGTTCAATTTCGAGGGCCTTAGCTGCTTCGTCCGCATGCGTTTGGGAAAGAAAGCCGAGTTTTTTAAATCTTGGATCTAAAATGGTTGCAAGTGACGATAATCGATGTTAAAAAATAAAACATCGATATTAAAAAATTTTCGCCAACATCGATAGTATCGATGTTGCATCGAGGTTTTTTCCAGCTCTATTGGCCTGCGCTTCGGTTGATCTTTGTATGTATGCGGGTCACACATTTACATACACGGGGGCGTGCGATTTCGTTTCGAAGCCAGCGCACAAAATTTGGATTTTTCTTACTTTTCAGGCTTGCTACCCTAACCAAATTCGGGTATTCGTTATTTGATGAAATGACGAAAGAAATTATATTATTTTTTATATTATATTTTTTATTATTTCAGCATACATTTTTAATCTATTTAGGAATAAGATTAGGTGTTAGTAGTAAAATGTTTTCTGTATATATATTTTTACGAATCATTAAAAATTAATATACTGAGAAAGTGTCAGAATATATTTCAGTCTGAGTCACTTAAAACGCCGATTGCTTTTAAGTTTTTGTTGTTCTGCAAGAGGCTTGTGCATGCCTACTCTAACGATCAGCTAAAACAGCTGATGGAATTGTTTACCTTTTTTGTTTACAATTTTTCAGGCACTTGTTATTAATTTGGGTTATTGTGAGATTTAATTAAATTATTGTCGTTAATTTAATAATTTCCTTATATATTTTGGAACTTTAAAAAAGTCACCGCTCGAATTTGTTACAGATATATATATGTACATATATTTATATATTTACATTGGTTTTCTGATACCTCTTGCAGAGGCTTTCCAAGGGAATTGAGTGAGTTAAGTCGTGACAGGATGATTATGGGATGAGGAAGATGACGACGGCGGCGATGGTGCTGATGGTGTTGTTGGATTGCAGCTGCGGCATTGCAGATGTTGTTGACGCCGCTGTTGCTGCTGCTGCCCATCGTCGTCGACGTCGTCAACGCCGTCGAAGTCGTCATCATCAGGTTTGAAGATCACTTTGATGTGGACCTTGTGGACCAACTCTTTGATAGATGTGCCTTATAACGTGTGGCGTATCCATCATGATGATACTGTAATTGGATAGAATTCAATTACTTGAGAGTTTATATAGGGTGCGGAAAAATTGTTGGGTAAAAAACCGCAATATAGTTGGGTGGTTTTTTTGTGTGTTTTATACTTAAAAGCTACAAATACACTAATATTACAAACTACTTATCTATCTAACTAACTAACTAGGGGGGAGAGAGGGGGAAGAGGGGGTATAGATAATTATTAATAATTATTAATTATTATTGTTATCAGATATAAAGTATTTTGCAGTAATTTTGCATTACAATTTATAGTTTACAGTTTGGCATCATAGACAAGACCTTGATTTGGGTCGATAGAGTTATTTTTACGGTTATAAAAGATGAGTTTATCGTTTGCATCATATATAATATTATGTATGTTTTTGAGATGATTATAATGATTGGGGGTTAGTAATTGTAATGGGTAATTATAAGGGATGGGATATTGAGGTATATTATTGGTTATTATATATTTTTCCAATATATTGATGGCTTTAATATCAATTGGTTTGATATTAGTTCTGTGATATAGTTTTTTATCGCTTATCTTTTTATGTATGGGATCATTGTCATTGTCATTATCATTATTATTGTTGTATTTTGTTATTATTGTTCGGATAATTTTACGTTCTAATCGTCTTATCTTTTCCATTTGTTTAGAAGCAATACTCATCCAAGCTGGATGGCCATATAGTAATAGAGGTTGTAACAATTTCTTGTATGCCATTATTGTGATTTTATTTTTATAATCCGTGGATTTTAGTAGTTGGAAGATGATTTTTAATTCTTTGATTTTACCTTTGACGGTATTTAGTAATTAGTTAATATGCTCATTAAAATTGAGCTGAGTATCATAGGTGATGCCTAAGTATCTAATTTGGGTTTTATTTTCTAATAATATATTATGATTAATGTAAATTTTTGGTGTAAAATGTTTGGCATTCTTGTAAATGGGTTTTATGTTTGGTCCTTTGAGGATTATACTATTGCATTTATTTGGATTAATTTTAAGTTTCCATAATTGAAAGTAGTATGATAATTGATCTAAATGAGTGCCATTGAGGCATTTGAGCATAGTATGAGTATGTCATCGGCATGTAATAGCTGGGTGGTACGGGTGTTGGTGAATTCAGGTATATCGGCTAGATATAAATTAAACAGAGTTGGGGCTAATAAAGAACCCTGCGGCACACCAGCTGTGCCTCACGATCGAACATTCATTCGTATCCATTGAGGATACGAAGAATGTCCGACCGGTAAGGTAGCAGCATAGTAATCTGGCCAATGAGGGATCGAAGTGATATCCTATACTTAATTTGTATAGGAGTCCTTCGATCCAGACGGTGTCGAATGCCTTCTCAAAGTCCAGACCGCATGCGATGGTCGCCTTGCGGTTATATATGCCGTCATACATGAAATTGTTGGCCGCAAGAAGTGCATGATTGGTGCTAGTGAATTTACGGAAACCATATTGATTGTTTTTTAGTATATTATTATTATCAATGTGTTGATTTATACGTTTTAATATTATTGTCTCGTACAGCATTGCCAATGCTGATAGTATGGCAATGGGACGGTAGCTCTTTAATTGGGTCGGATTCGTTTTGGGCTTGAGTATTGGTATAATTTTTCTATTTTTCCAACTAGTTGGAAAATATGAATTATTTGTACAATGATTGAAGATTTTTGCTATATAATTAATCACTATTATATTGAGATTTTTTAATAGAAAATTGATAGTACGATCCGGCCCCATTGTTTTTATACCCTTGCAGAGGGTATTATAATTTTGGTCAAAAGTGTGCAACGCAGTGAAGGAGACATCTCCGACCCTATAAAGTATATATATTCTTGATCAGGATCACCTCCTGAGTTGATATGAGCATGTCCGTCTGTCCGTCTGTCCGTCTGTCTGTTTCTACGCAAACTAGTCTCTCAGTTTTAAAGCTATCGTCTTGAAACTTTGCACACATCCTTCTTTCCTTTGCACGCAGTATATAAGTCGGAACGGCCCGGATCGGTCGACTATATCCTATAGCTGCCATATAACTGATTGATCGGAAATGGTATAACTTTGGTGTTTTTAAAGTTAGAGAGTTCAAATTTTAGGTGAGAGCTTTTTTTGGCAACATAATACGACATGCCAAATTTCATAAGGATCGGCCGACTATATCCTATAGCTGCCATATAACTGAACGATCGGAAATGACCCAACTTTCGTGTTTTTGATGATAGAAAGCTGGCACTTGGTACACATTCTATTTTTGGTCAGTTAATCCGATCTACCAAATTTCATAACGATCGGTTGACTATATCTTATAGCTGACATATAACTGTACGATCGGAAATGGTTTTTGGTAGAAATACCAACTTTGGTATTTTTGAAGATAGAAGCTTGAGACTTTTTTTAGATTTTGTATTGTAATAAATTGGATTATATATTCATATTCCCATAAGGATCGGCCAACTATATCCGATGTTTGAGATATATATCCGGTTTTAGCTGCAAGGGTATATCAACATCGGCTCCGCCCGAAGTTAGCTTTGCTTTCTTGTTATACCCTTGCAGAGGGTATTATAATTTTGGTCAAAAGTGTGCAACGCAGTGAAGGAGACATCTCCGACCCTATAAAGTATATATATTCTTGATCAGGATCACTTCCTGAGTTGAAATGAGCATGTCCGTCTGTCCGTCTGTCTGTTTCTACGTGAACTTGTCTCTCAGTTTTAAAGCTATCGTCTTGAAACTTTGCACACACCCTTCTTTCCTTTGCACGCAGTATATAAGTCGGAACGGCCCGGATCGGCCAACTATATCCTATAGCTGCCATATAACTGATTGATCGGAAATGGTATAACTTTGGTGTTTTTAGAGTTAGAGAATTTGACATGAGAGCTATTTTTGGCAAAACATTACGTCATGCCAAATTTCATAAGGATCGGCGGACTATATCCTATAGCTGCCATATAACTGAACGATCGGAAATGACCCTACTTTCGTGTTTTTGAAGATAGAAAGCTGGAATCTAATGCAGATTCTATTTTTGATCAGTTGATCCAACCTACCAAATTTCATTAGGATCGGCCGACTATATCCCATAGCTGCCATATAACTGAACGATCGGAAATGGTATTTGGTAGAAATATCAACTTTCGTATTTTTGAAGATAGAAGTTTGGGACTTTTTTTAGATTTTGTATTGTAATAAATTGGATTATATATTCCTATTCCCATAAGGATCGGCCAACTATATCCGTTGTTTGCGATATATATCCGGTTTTAACTGCAAGGGTATATAAACTTCGGCTCCGCCCGAAGTTAGCTTTCCTTTCTTGTTTTGTTATTTTTCGTTTTTAATATTGATAGTAATTCATCGGCTGTGGTAAATCCAAAATCATTGGGATCGGCATTTCGCCATTTGCCATCAGTCGTACGATTACTATCAAAATTTATAATATTTATATTAGTATGTATTAGATTATTATAATTATTATTTATGTTACTTAAAAAATGATTATAATTTATATTATTATTATTAATTTTATTATTATTATTATGATTATTATGATTATTTATTTATTTATTTCGCCAACGGACAAATCCTTACATGGCTACATAAAAACAACTTATACCTAACAAATAAAACTACAAAATTAACAACTTAATAAATGCCGTATTACCTTGCGTTTTGACACACCCTTATCAGAGCCCCACTCAATTCGGAGGCTAGGCGGCAAAGAATTAAAATAAGAAAGAGCCCGCTCTATCGGCTCATTTAAAAGATAATTGGCCCTATGACACTTGACCCGAAAGGGGGCAAAGGTACGAAGATCCCTTTGAGGAACATTAAAATTAACGAGTCCCAACAAAAAAGGACAATCAATGTTATCAACAATTAAATTATTTAAAAAAGTTAACGCTGCCAGTTTACGCCGATCCTCCAACGTGCAAACGTTCAAAAGAAGGCAACGGCTCTGGTATGAAGGAACAGGATCCTGAAACCGTAGAGGCAGAAGTGCAAATTTTAAAAATTTTTTCTGGAGTCGCTCAATTCGGTTGGAACGAACTTTACACTCCG